AGGCTAAAAAACTGTGCGCTGGCTCACACTCACTCAGCCGAGAGGGAACGCTGGTTGCCAGTCTCCAGGTGGGGCCTGGAGGCCTTCCAGAATTTAAACTGGGCTCCAGGGGACAGAGACCCATTGCCCCGGAGAAAACGGCTGCTTTGGAAGGGGGTCTCTATGGCGTTCTACCCTCCTGAGGCCCCTTTCCTCTCCAACCCCACCCTTCCCCGGGCTTGACCCCCAGTTTGGTGTAGTGGTTAAGTGCGCGGAGGACTCTAATCTGGGAGAACCGGGTTTGATTCCCCACTCCTCCACTTGCACCTGCTGATGTGACCTTGGGTCAGTCACAAGCTCTGGCACAGCTGTCCTTGAAAAAGAGCAGTTTGTGTCAGAGTTCTCTCAGCCCCACCCACCTCACAGGGTGTCTGTTGTGGGGAGGGGAAGGGAAAGGAGTTTGTAAGCCGCTCTGAGACTCCAAGTGAAGGGCGGGGTATAAATCCAATCTCTTCTCTTCTTCTTCAAATCTCCAGGTATCCCCCATGCGGGAGCTGGCAACCCTGCATCCCCCCACACCCTTACCCCTGTCAGACTGGGCTCACAGTGGGACTAGTCTTCTGAAGGCACCGCTGGCCTCTCTGCTGTTTGCTTGCCAGAAGAGACCAGCATGGCGCCGTCCCTGGAGTAAAGCCAGGTGCGACCGATTCCCTCCCTTTTACCCGATTGGTCTCAAAGTGACTTGCGGCCTATGGAGCCGGCGGACGCGCTCTCAGGACGTTTCCGAGCTAACTACCAGCGGGCCGACCTCTTGTGGCTTGCACAAGGAGACTCCCCCCAATTTCCAGGAGTGTGGGAACCACACAGCCACTAGGGACGGAGAGGTGGGGACCCTTTGGGATGCGGAGGTTACCTGTTGCTCGTAGCGTGGGGGTTCCAAAGCACCGTCGGTTGGTTCTCGTCTTCTTTTATGCCAGCACCGTCACCCCTCTGGTGATCTTTGTACTGTCAACACTGGCTATTTTTTTTTTCCGGGGAACTGTCGCATTTAGAACTTCCCCCAAAACAGAGAGAAGCCCGGAGTTGTACAGGGGAATCCAGTCGCTCCTCCTCCTCCTCCCTTGCCGTCTGCCTTCTCTTATAGGTTAAATGGTTCTAACCCCTCCCTCAAACAACCCCCCCCCCCCAACCACACAAAACTTATCTCCAGCGAGGCCAACCAAAGACAGCAGTGAACTTGGACTTTGGGAAAGGCGAGTGGCCATTGCAGCTGTCAGTGTGCAAGCGCGCTGGAGTCCTGGCACCCAACCTGCGGTGCTAAGCACATGAAATGCAACAGACGTGCGTACCTGAACACAGGACAGAGTCAGGCCCATGGCCCTGTTTGGTGTAGTGGTTAAGTGCGCGGACTCTAATCTGGGAGAACTGGGTTTGATTCCCCACTCCTCCACTTGCACCTGCTGGATGGCCATGGGCAAGCCATAGTTCTGATCAGAGCTGTCCTTAAAAACAGCAGTTTCTGTCAGAGCTCTCTCAGCCCCACCACCCTTACAGGGTGTCTGTTGTGGGGAGGGGAAGGGAAAGGAGTTAGTAAGCCGCTCTGAGACACCTTTGGGTAGTGAAGGGTAGGATATAAATCCAATCTCCTCTTCTTCTTCTTCCGTCCTCAGCCCCAACTGGACTCCTCTGCCGGGCAGAGAATGCTCTTTCCCAAGGTCTGCTGCCCAAGAGGCACACTGGAACACACTTGGGGCCTTTCCCCGAAAGTTTGGGGTGCTGGCGCATAGAGCCCATGCTTCATTAGGGCTCTGAGCCCCAGTGGGCAGGCAGGTCTGGTCACTTTCTGGGCCTGGTCTGCCTTGCTGCCAGCTGTACAGGGCTGCAGGGCTGGGAATTCAATGTTCCCTCTAAGCTGTGGAGTCTTGTGAGCAAAAATTCTACTTTGTGAGCTCCTGGTGTTAAAGTTACGAGCGAGCGATTTGGCTACTGCATAAATTGGTTTGCTCTGGAGCCGTCCTTCCTGAGCTGAGACAAAAATGTGTGAGCCGGAGGCTAAAGAACTGTGAGCCGGCTCACACTCACTCAGCTGAGAGGGAAGACTGCGTCAAGAGCCTTTCCCAGGAGACGCCAGCTTGAACGGGCTAGGGATGAGCACTAAGTAACGCTGCTGCCAGGGTGGCAACAACTCCTAGACCTCAGGCGGAAGAAACCGCTCCAAAACTCCGTTCCACAAACACAACTTCCTAACCAAATTAAATGTGACTGTTGTTTTAAAAGGCATATAATAATGATCATTAATCTTATGCTGTTTATAAATTTATTCTCGTTTACTCTGTTGACAAGGAAAGCGGGCCCCTGCAAAATCCAACTAGCAGCAACAAGGGACCTCACAGCTCCTAAAAAGCCAGGGACCCTCGAGCGTCGCACTGGTTGGATGGACGGAAAGGAGCTACACCCAGGAAGCCAGCCAAGGTGAGGTCCACGCCAGATCGGCCCCACCTCTGCCTCCAGTCCCCGGCCCTACCAGAGAAGGACAGAGTCGGACAAGCGTGTGGGTTTTCATTGGTTTTTAATTATTCTTTTGCCAAAGGCGATAATATTTCTATGCAAAATACTCTCTTATATCTCCCCACCCCCCCCCGCACCCGCCCACCCCCAACAAACAAACCGCGAGTGGCCCCCGGCAAGAAACCGCCTCTGACCGCCTCCTGGCGCTTCTGATGCTCCGGCTGAGAGGGGAGGGGGCCTTGGGGGGGGTGTCTGACCCACCACCTCGTCCCTGCCCAAAGACTGGGGTGGGGAGGATCCCGTCAGTTACGAGAAAGCCCTTGGCAAGTCAGCAGAAGGGGAGGCATCTCTCAAGTGCAGAAGAGAACCCGGCCTGCCTCTGCTCCCTTCTAGAGAACCCAGGAGTTTGGGCTCTGCCTTCACCTGGGCACACCTGTTCAGTTAGCAGAAGGGTCTCTGGTGAGGCAGATGCAATTCTATCAGTGTCGGATACAGGCCCCCCCCCTATAGAGCCGGGGCAGAAATGCCTTCCCCCTCTGCCCCAGGACTCTTGGCCTGTGCATGAATGGCCACCTAGGCACAGTGTGAGAGCTGGGGGAGGCCAAATGCAGCCGCGCATCGCCTGGGTTTTGCCGTGGCCCCCCTGCCCTTCTGCATCTCTCCTCCTTTCTCTAAACTTCCTATTTTTCCTGGCGGGAGGGGGGGGGCTCCACTGGGCAGGATGCTTATTTAAACGGCAGACAAAGGGGGGGGGGGGGGGGAAGAAACCCTTCCGCGTACAGGTTCAGATCTGAGAGCAGGCCAAGGTTCTACTTTATAAATATTAAGACTTCAAACCCCTTCCTCTAACATTTTGTTCCTACGATGGTGAGAACTAGAAACTTGGCATGTTTTCTTGGGGGCGGCGGGGGCAGGGGGGATAGGAGCAGAGAATCCAGCCCTGAGAAATGAGTTTCTTAGCTCAGACAACCAGACGGAAGCCTCTGGTTGCTTGAGTTCCCAGCAGCTACTTCAACGTGCTCTTTAGAAAACACAACTGATCTTCCTCTCCCCCCACATTCCTTCCCGCCCCAACCCCAGTCGGGCTGAAGCCGAGGGAGAAGCGGCTCTTACGGGGGGCCAGGAGGGCTGGAATGCCGGTGGTGGTGGTGAGCAAAATGTCTCCAACCCCCAAGTCCATCCTTTTTTTTCTTTATATACAAAAAATAATAATGAATCCATTAGATTTGGAAATTAAAGTCTTCAAACGTGAAAGTAAATCCAGTCCCTCCGAAATATATTTTCCCACCCCCTGTTCCTCCAAGGTATTTCTTTTTTTTTTCATACATCACATACAGCCGCACCAAAATACTTGATATGACCCCAAAAATAGTCACAGGACATTGGAAAAAACTCTTTTTTTTTTAATCTTCTCTCTCTTTTTTCCTCCTCTCCCTCCTCCTTTCCCCCCTTCCCCGGAAAGAAAAATATAGGCTGCTAGATCAGCAAATGGTTAAATTTCTGTTTTGTCGTCCTCTCTGTTTTAAGTTTTGAAGCCACAAGTAACCTTCATGCACCAAAGAGGAAAAAAAAATAGAGAAAAAAATAGAGAAAATTGAACGGGAAAAGAATCAGCGTCATAATAAATAATAAAATATAATTATATATATATATATATCTTATGTATCCCCAAGTCAACAGGGCTTCACTTGCAAGCAAGATCTCCTGACTAACGCCCAGTCCCGGATCTGTGCTTGTTTGAATCACGAACTCTGCCAAAAATAGAGAGAGAAGTGAAAGATTTTTTCCCCCTCCCCAGGGAAGGGAAGGAGAGGGGAAAAATACATTTTTAAAAAGCAAAAGTATGAAGAATTTCCTTCACATTTTCTCTCTGCTGAGGTCCTTCTTTAAGCTGCACTCCCCCCCTCCCCGGTCTTTCTGCCCCCTCGGGGATCCCACCGAAGTCACCGCTTGCCAAACTCTGTCCTGGTCACAATTTACTGCAAAGTGGGGGTCCAGTTGGGCCCCCCATCGCAGAAGGTAAAAGTGGCTTCTGACTGCAGAAAGGTTCTGTTCAAAAATATATCTCTATATATTTCCCAACCCCCCTAGCTTTGCTCTCGGTCTTTCTCTGATTCATTATCCGCACACACACCCTGTCCCCGTCGCTGCCTTATAAAACGAAAGACGCCGGAATCGAAGAAACGGCCCCCCCTGCTGCTCCCCCCGCCACCACCTGCCCCCCCAAAATCACAGCACGCATGCGCTAGCGCTGTTGAGGATGGAGACACCCCTCCCTTCTGCTGCAGAAATTTTTAAAAAAGGGAGTGTTCGAAACTGAGACCAGGGTGGGGCGGCTGGATCACGCAAGAAGAAAAAAGAAAAAGAAAAAAAGAAAAAGAAAAAGAGAATAATATTAAGAAGAAACGAAAGAAGCCCGTCCCCAGACACCCCCGCCCACCCCCAAAATATTAACCAAACAGCTAAGTTCAGTGGCAAGAGACAGAGGGCGCCCCCCCCC